ATTGTTAGTTTCGTACTCTTGTATTTTCTTCTTTTGTATTTTTTAAAAAAATTATAATAAAAATTAAAGAGGACGTTTAAAAAAGCTTGTAAATTTCATTGTCGAGTGTGTAAATAATTGTAACTGTAGCGAACGTCTTTTTTTTTGTTTATTTTTTTAATTGAATTAATTTCAATTTAAATTGAATTAATTTCAATTTAAATTGATGTTAATTTCAATTTAAATCGAATTACATTCAATTTAAGTTGAATATTCAATTTAAATTGAATATTCAATTCAAATTGGATATTCAATTCCCGATAGGTGGGTTTTTTTCACCACGACGCTTTAAATCGTGAGATGAGAAGTGAAAATTTTATTCTAAGAGTACGAAACGTTTAGGAGAATGTTTGTGTAGGTGAAAAAGAAAAAAAAATTGAGTGAGTGAGAGAGAGAGAGAGAGAGAGAGAGAGACAAAGAGAGAAAAAAGAATTCAGTAGACACAGAGCAATGCCTGTGCTCTTCCACAAGGTGGTCATCACACAGATTGGAATCTCAAATTTTCTATAAGACTTTTTTATTTCCTTGCACAGGTTATAGGCTAATATTTAATTTTTAAATAATTATTCTCAGCGAAGACTTAATTTATTGATTTTTTATTTATAATAAATAAATATATATATATTATATATAAAGCATTATTATTATTATAAAATACACGTGTGCGTATGAATACGGGTTTGAGATATATGGAGTAGATTCTAAACTGTGTGAATTGACGATATTTACGTATATAAAGAAAAAAAACAAGAAAACAAAAATGAAAAACAAAAATATATATATGTGTATATTGTACCTAATAATTTATATTCTATATACGGTCAGTCACAAGTCCACAAGCCAAAGAGGCGGAGCTAGTAAAATGGTTCAGATGTTTATTAATAATAATTTAATTATGATGTCTCACTAGGTAAATGGTATTAGAAAGTCTCTAAATTCTCCTCATGGAAATCCGACTGATTTTCGATTCGAATAGAGAAGAGCAAAAAAAATTTTTTTTTTACTTTGCTTTTCTAATTCGAAATAGTAACAATTTTATATTTAATTTGTAAAATACCTCGTTTATTTAATTTCTCAACTCACTGCCTCGAGTTATAGTCACACATATTTTTTTTAAGAGACAAAAAAAATATCGATTCAACTGAAATTTAGCTAAAAAAAATGTACGAAATTTATAATTTATTAACAAAAGAAAAAAAAATTTATTCAAATCTAATCGAGTTAGAAAAAAGATTTAAATTGCAATTTTTTTTTTTGGTTGAATTGATTTTTTTTTCCTGTAAAATGAATATTTCATTTTTTTCCGTGTACATGCATAAAATTTCTACTCTATACTCGCACTGGTGTATTCGTTTTTTGAAAGATATTTTAATGCTATTGTTATTTAACGAAACTGGTGCGAATGTGTGTAGTCATAATTTACCAAATAATAATTACATTGTACGTTTCCTATATAGTTAAAAATATTTTTTCGTAAAACTCCAACGAGAGAGCTCCGTATTGCGCTAGAAAAAACAAAAAAAAAGATAACTGTTTGTCTTTTTAAAAAATCGATTGGAAAAAGAGGGCATAAAAGAAACAAAATTTAATAATCGTTATTCAAAAAAAAAAAAATAAGAAATAAAAAAGGAACGAAAATGTTTTTTCTCATGTCAAAAAGTTTTAACATCAAATTTTCCTTTGGAGAACTATTTATGGAAAAATTATTTGAAAAATAATTTACACTTCAAATTACTTTTCAGTTTTTATTTTGCTGACAATTATTTCAAATGCGAATAGTTTACTCAAAATTTGTTATTAATTAAATTAATCGATTAATTATTTATTTAACTGAATTATATCTATTTTCTGTTAAAACCGGTTTTTTAATTATCATTTTAAATTAGGTATTTAATTAAATTGCGCAATTCATTTTTTACGTAATTAATTAACTTACGCATTTAATTAAATTATGCAATTAATTTTTTACGTAATTAATTAATTTAAGCAATTTTATGATTACCTAATTAATTAAATTACGTATTTAATTAATTATTAAAATGATTAAATTACGCAATCAATTAATTATGTAGTTGATTTAATTACGAAATTGATTACAAATAAAAGAAAAATTCATTTGCACAATCGAGTAATTTGAAGAAAAATTAATTTCAAACCAAACGCAAAAATGTAATAAAATTATTTATTTATTTCTGTTCGATTGGGAAAATTAAATGTTAAAACTTGCTTGTTTTTTTTTTTTAAATTTAAAACGAAAATAAACAGCCTAATCCAATGAAAAATTGTATTTATTGCATTGTATAAATCGTTGTTTAAATCTGTAAAAAAAGAAGAGCTTTGGAGTAATACACTTCAGCATCAATCGCACTTAATCAGAAATAAATTCATTTAATTATTATAATTATATGTTTTTTCTTTCTTATCCTAATATTCCCCAAAAAATTCCCTCTGATTGGAAATGAATATTTTTGGTAATTGAAATTCTACTCAAATGAGTTTAGTAATTGTTTGTAATTTTTTATATAATTTTTTTTAAGAAGATTATTTAAATTTATTATAATTACTATAATTACACTTGAAAAAGTGTATTTGATTTAAATAATTACTTGTCTATTTTCAAATAAATATTTATTTGAATCAAATAATTTTTATTTAAATTTGAAGCAAATATTATTTAATTGACTCGAATAAAAATTATTTTTAATTAAAGAAAGAATAAAAGAAGAAATTATTTTATTTAAGTAAATATTTAATTAGCATTAGTCAATTAATTGCTTATTTGACTTAAATAATTTTTTTCCAGTGTACTATTAATATTGTTATTTTATTATTACTTTTTATTATTTTAACCATCAATTTTTTTTTATTATTATTACTCTCTATTATTGTAATTATTAATATTTTTCATGTTTATTATTATCATAATCTAATTGTCATTTTTTCTTACTTTTTATTATTATGGATAACATATTCATTCATAAAGTTTGAATACGTTTGAATTTTTAAATTTTCGGCCAAATGTGATTAATTTCTACATTATCATTTGTCATGATAACGAAATCATTTTTCTAATACAGGAAATATTGACTGAAGGTAATATTACCAACTGTAGGTATTCTTACCAACTGATGGTAATCGCACCTTCAGTCGGTATATGTACCTACAGTCGGTATACTTATCCATCGTTTGAAAATATTACCAACAGTAAATTAAACTCACTTCTTTTCTCTCTTCCAATTTTCGAATTAATTTTATATATTGTAAATTTACATAAATAAATTTATAAATAAATTTTTACTTCTCTATAAATTTCTCATAATAATATTAAATTTTTTGCATCCAGATCCACTAAAAGAACACTCGGATTTTTACATCAACCCAAAAGAAAGAAGTTTGACCAATGAAGGTCGATTCGTTCCATTGATGGTAAATAGAAAGTCTCAGGATAAAATGTTGGTAAGATAGTTATTTTTCAATTCAAGTTTTTTATCGACAAAATTGTCAGCAAATAGTTTTTACTTTAATCATGAGATTAAATTTCTAGAAATTTACTTAACCATTAGACAGTGACTTTTGAGAAAAAATGTATATCGACCTGTGAGAATTTATTTGCTGACAATTTTACGAATTGTTACTAAGTAAATATTCCCTTCCGACATAAAATGTATTGATTAATTTCTAATATTAATTCCCCCTGAAATTTTATTACTAGCTCCTTACTATCAATTCTTGCAGTATATTTTTTTTTTAGGTGGATATCAATATTTATTTTATCCTTTTCAATCAAAAAGAGGAAAAATAATAATTGAACATTTACGACCCTTTTTGGATTTTTATTTTTCTCAAAAATTCATAAATTTTAAAATCCATCCGCAATTTTGTAGAAAATATGTTTTTTTATCTACAAAAAAATTACCGAATAAAAAAATTGAATTTAAAATGTTTGAAGAATTTTTTTTTGTTAATTGTTTTTATGTTCAAAAATGCTAAAAAACCATTGTTATAAAAATTTTTTCCATCTAATTTTAAAAAATTATGATTTGAAATTATTTAAAGAAATTCTTTAGAGAAATTTAGAGAAATCTCAACAAGAGAATTTTAATATAAAAAATTGAATAACAATGGTATTTTTTAGCATTTTTAACCTAAAATAATTTTTTTTTCTAAAACAAAATGCTTCAAACATTGTAAAAATCAATTTTTTCATTCGGTAATTTTTTTGTAGATACAAAAACATATTTTCTACATAATTACAGATGGATTTTAAAATTTATGAATTTTTGAGAAAAATAAAAATCCAAAAAGTGTCAGAATATGTTCTGATCATTGATTTCCTATCAAAAAATAACATTAAAAATAATTTTATGGAAGAATTAAATCATTTTCTTGATATAGTTTAAAATGTCCAAGAAATGTCCAAGATAAAATACAATTAATTATTAACAAACTGTTAATATTAAATTTAAATATTAATATTTAATATTATTAATATAATATTCATTGTTAATATTAATAGCAATAAACAATTAATAATATAATTATGACTATAATTAATTATAAATAAAGCGATAACATAATTATTATTAAAGTTTTTTTTCAACTAACAAGCCCACGATTTGATTAATGTAATTAATTCATAATAATGTATTAATATTAATATTAATTATTAAATAATTATTAATGTTACCTAATATTATATTAATACAATATTAATATAATAATGTTCAAATATTAATATAATAATGTGTTAATTAGCGTTTTAATGAAAATAATATCGAATTTTTAATTGTATTTTCCAAGAAAACTAAGAGAAGGCTAATATACTCAAAAAATGAATTCAAAGTAAATAATATAATCGTTTGAGATTACATCTTTCTAGGTAAAGTGCAAAAAACAACTTTCCGGGCCCTCTGTTTAATTCTTGAGATACTGTGTTTACATTCGTTTGGGGTCAAAGTCGAATTGTATCGATGGGAGATCACATGAAATTTTGTCCATAATAGAGAATAAACATTGAAACTCACTTTTAATGTGACAGTCCTCCTGTTAGTTTCGAGCGTTTTGATATTGCTGTTCGAAATTTCTATAAATCGCGTTCTATTCGGTATTAAAAAAAACAAGCAGTGACTTTATCGTGTTTTTTGAAATTAAAAAAAAAGTGAGTGTCATTTTCTTGAATTTGGCGATCGTCAAGTTTATTTTTGGAAAGGTGGCAAATACACAAAGTTTATATGGTAAGAGTTTTTTTCTCTTTTGAAAATTATTACCTAGTGAAAAATTACTAACACTAATAAATTATTAATTTTATCATGAACAATGAGAAAGAAAATTATTAATTAAAATTCTTTTTAATCAAACATATATAATTATATAATTATATATAATATATTATATATTATAATATTATTATTAATTATATTACTATTATATTTTTATTTATAATATTTTTTGACTCAGCAACAATTATTGAGTTAACCCTGCAATATTTTGACTTTTTTTACCTTCTTAGGTTTTGTATATGTATATTATATAATATTATGTAAATAATATATTATATAAATATATAAATTATACTTTAATATTTTAAAATATTTATTTCAATATTTCATAATTATTTGTTAATTAGTCGATTTTTGGAAGACAGGCGAAATAAAAATATAATTATAATAAATAAATTATATAAGTAGGTTGAAAATTCTAAATCAAGTTTAATATAATTTTTCTTGTTCTTTAGGATAAATAAAGAGACGAAACATTGTCACGTGAGTAATTAAAGTTACATAATTAATTATAAATTTTACCCACGCTTATATACATAACTTAAAATTTGATTTTCATATTTTTACATTTGTAATGTTCCTGTATTAATAATAAAACAGTTACTAATAATTTATTGTAAATATTGAACATTTAAACATTTATATAAATAAAATTATATTAATCATATATAAAATATAATTATTTATAATTATTTATCATCAAATATTTATGTTACTGAAAGAAATTATTATTGTATAGGTATATAATTATTAATTTTTAAATTTCTTTTAGAATGGCGAAAAAACAAGACAAAATAATTCTTAACGGAAAATGTAAGTTTCCTACCTATTGGGAATCTTACAAAGATTACATGAATGATAATTCGAAAAATATAATTAACATTAAACAATTTAGGAGATTTAGTATAGGTTAGTAAACCTTGATTTTATTATGTTATTATAACATTATTTTTTGTTTATATTTTATAATAACTATTTCATTACAGTGTTAAAGGATAATGATAATTCAAATTTAATGAAATTCGTCAAAATGTGCCTTCACGACAAATCTGAAATGATGTTTAATTTTTACATAATTATTTCACAAATAATTATTCTTAATATCAATGAGACAATTGAAATCCCGATTGAGAATAAAATATTAGAACGTCTAATTAACGATGCAGGAATCATTGAATTACCATCAAAAATAAGTCTGTTTTTCGCAATAAAATTACTTAATCGTGAGCAATTAGATTATCTGCTTAAAATTGGAAATAATAAATACGGATTTAAAATTCCAAATGACGAGTACAGAAAATTCATAAGTAATCCGGAAATAAAAATACCATATTCCTTCACCAATAAAAATAGAAAGGAAATTCATCGAGGGGACAATGGATTATTTTTTAATAAAAGAGAAAAAAATTTAATGGATTCTCCGATTATGCTGAAATTATTCTTACGAGCTGTTTTCTATTATTTCAAGGAACTTGAAATTAAATTATTAGAAAAAAAAGTAATTAGTACCTGCATTTTGAGAGACATTGCAATTCGCACGGCAGGGAATATGCACCATAACGTGGCAAGTTCAAATAATAATTTCTTGGCTGTCATAAATTTCTTTCTTCATTCCAATGTTAATGATTTAATAATAACAATAAAGTATTTCGACAGTACTTTTGAAAATGAATTGAAACAAAGAATTTTATTCAAACCAATTGAGATACAATCCAGTGAATTAAATCATTATTTTGATAGTTCAAATGATTTAAATTATTTTCAAGGGTATGATAATGAAAAATTATACAAAATCAATTTAAATGAAACATTCATAAATTGTAATCCATTTGGAGGTGTAAATTTATTTTTTGGAAAACAATTTCCACAAAAACATGAAACAAATAAGAGAAATAATTCAGATCCATTATTTACAATGAATTTACAAAGGAAAATAAAAACAAGTAAAGGTAAATAAATAATTTATTATTATATTATTATATTATAATTTCTACCATAAATCAGTTAAATCGTCATTTATGTAATAATACTTGGATAATAATAATAATAATAATAATAATAATAATAATAATAATAATAAATATCCATGTTGTACATAAATCAAAATTATTATAATTTTACATTTAATTTGTAAATCAATTTATAGCTCAAGAAACTGAAAATGAAAATTCGGACAAAGATCGTGATATTCATCAAGAATCAAATTCAGTACCATTGAAAAAGAAGAAGTCTAATGGTAAGATTTTATATTCATAATTAATGGACTTAACTTTAATTATAATTAATTCCAGGTAGTAAAATAATAAATAATTTTAATAATGCACGATAACAATTGTTATCAATACATGACAAAATGTTATTAATTACAATTTATTTAAAAAAAAGTAAGAAATAATTTTTAATTAATAATTTAATTTAATTTAATCTAATCTAATTTTTATTAATAATTATAATAATATAATACAACTATTTATATAATTATAGATGTAGAAAATAATCATCAAAATTCAATGGATTTTTGTGATCGAGAAAAAGAAACTGATCTAGACTCAAATGGATCATCAACAATAAATAATGAGAATAATGGTTTGTTTGCATAATAATTATTTTTATGACTGATTATAATTATTTTATTTTTGTTAAAAAAAATAAACATTTTATTAACAAAATGTAATAATAAATAATAATGTAATAATATAATAATGTAATATTAAATCACATTCTTTTTATACAACAATAGATCGAGAAAATGAAGAGCAACTATTAATTGATGATCTGACCAGAGAGAATGATATTAATGAAGAATTATATCCACCGCCAATGAAAAAAAAGAAAACGAATGGTAAATTTACAAATTTTCACTACATTCAGTTAACATTAATTAGAATAAGTTATTTTTATTTTGTGAATAAATATTTTTTTAAGAGATATATAATATTAAAAATTACTAAAAAAAATAATAATTTATTGAATAAATTTCTGTTAAAAATTTAATTATACAATATTAATTAATAAAAAATTTTTTTTAAATATAAGCAAGATAAAACAAATTAGAAATAAAATTAATTTAATATTTAAAATTTTAAATCTTAATTAATATGTAATGCAGTTAAAATATTTTTTTTATATTTATATACTATCATTTTATAGTTCATATAATTACATTGACATAATTACCTTGACATAACTATTTTTAAGTAATAAAACGAAAATGTACCAAAACTATAATTAATATATATAAAATTCATTATTTTTTTTTAATATAAGTGTTTTTTTTTTGTAAACATTAATAGATGGAGAAATTAGCAATCCAAACATGAGTGTTGATTTGATGATACAAGATGATATTAACCAGGAATCAAATTCTTTATTATTATCAGAATCATATGATCATGTGCAATTAAAAGAAACTCATCAGGAATGTTCACATGAAAATACAGAAAATTCTTCAAATGGTAGGTTATAAATATATATTTTAACTTTTAATTAAAAAAATATTTTATTAAAACAGTTTAAATAATCATAAAATTAAATAAGTATTTCTAAAATATTATTATATGATTGTTCTAATATTTTACGTATATATAATTATTTAACATTTTACTTTAATATTAACATGCTAACATGTTTTTAATATTAACATGTTAACATGTTTTTAATATTAACATGTTAAAAAAATTAAATTCTCTCTAAATTTGAATTAGTTAAATTTTACTGAAAATCAGTTAAAATTGTTACTAAAATATTAGTCATTTTTTTAAAACTAATTTTTAGTAAAAATTCACTAATTCTATACGTGAAAAATTTAAAAACAAAATTTAAAAACAGAATTTAAAAAATCACAACTTTAAAATTGAAAAACAAAATATTTTTTATGTATTTAAAATTATTTAACACATTGTAATAATTTGTTTTAAATATTATTATACTTAAAATTTTAGAAATAGTTACGTCAACAAATGATTCTTCAAAAAATACCCAATTATCGACATATGAGGAAGAATTAATAGTACCAGAAATAGAGACCAACATGAAAGATGGTATGTTTTACTTTGATATATTAATATTTCCAAGCAGTAAAATTTTTATTTTTATTCATTATAATCTTTTGTACAATTTCAACAATTTTAATAAAAAAAAAAAAAAAAAAAAAAAAAAAAAAAAATGCACAAGTATAATAATTTAAGATTTTTACGTACACCGAAAATTAAATTATTTTCATTTAAATCTCAGATTACTTGTTTATTATAAATTTTACTGTTCTTCACTTCGTCTTTCAGTAAAACTGACATAAGACTATCTCTCTTCAAATAAGGATAAATATTTACTTTCATCAAATAATTTTTTATTGAATTAAAATTTTATTTAACTATTATTAAAATTTCTATCAATAAATAATAATTAATAATTATATTTTTCTAGAAATTAGATCTGAGAACTTACAGAAGGAATGTGAAGAGGAAGTTATAATTATTTGTGATAAAAATGATAAACAAGAAATTGAAATTATTGGTGATTATTCTTATATTGTTTCACATACTATTTATTTTAAGAATAAAATAATATAAATATTATTTTAATATAAAATTTATTATCAAAATACGTTTGAAATGTGATTTATAATTTTATGTATTTAAGTTAATTAATATTAATTAACAGATATCATTTCAAACTTAATATTAAACATAAATAATTAATTTTACAATTATTTACAGAAGTAGATGATGGAGACAATGAGGTCAAAGGGAATTTAATAATAAAAACAATTCATTATTATAAGAATCAGGATTCATTCTTCGATGACATAAATTCATCAGTTACCATGAAGCAATTATTACATTATTTCTCAAATAAAAACATTATTTCAAATAATTTATTATTAACTTCAAAAGGAAAATATTATTCATCAGAATGTAGAATATCGGCAAATACAATTTTCGGACAGTTGGTTAACGATTCAATAAATGATGCAAAATTTTTGTTTAATATCATAATTCCAAATAGTGAAGTTACATTCACTTTAAAAAACCAATTTTTATTATGTAAAAATGGAAATTCAAAAATTTTTATTTCTAGCATATCTTCCGAAAAAAAGTTTTATCTAGTTTCGACAAAAATCATTGAAAGTGGTGATTATATCATTATTAACCTTTGAATAACTTTGAATTCACTGTAAGCAAAATATTTTTTGAAAGAAGAAATATTGTAAAATAATATTATTTATATATTAAACTAAATGCGTTACATTATTTAGTTATATACGATTGAAAATAAAATATGTAATAAATGTTAAATATTATATTATAATGTTATAAAATTAGAATATGATTAATAACAAATAATATAATTGTAATTAATTATTGTAAGCAAATAATATATTAAATAATATAAATATATATAAAATATTTTTCTTAATAATATTGTATTAATTATAATGTATAAAGACAACATTTTTAATAAAAAAAACTTTATTCCTGAATTCTCGGACGAAATCCACTGAATGTTTTTGTGAATATATATTATAATAATTACACATTGAGGGTAACGAATAAAATAAAGAATTATTTAATTTTCTCTTTTTTATCATTTTTTATTATTAACCCATGATATCAATAATATGTTTCTGTATTTCATATGCGTGTAATTACAGATTCATTTTAAATTGTAATATGTATAATACTTATGTATAATTCTACCATATGTCATCTTATATAATACTCATATTTTCAATTTATTACAGTTCAATATATTATAGTTAATAAATGCAATAAACTGCATTATTTGCGAGATAATTTTTTTAAGGTGTTTCTTTGCTCTCGGCCACTATTCCTAAATTCGTGTCAAGTAAATAGGAAGTCAATTTACAGAATTACAATATTTTGTTTTTTTTTTCATTTATATTTTTCATTTATATATTTGTTTTTTTTTTGTTTCATTTTTATCAGCCAAACTTTAATGTTTCAATTATCTTTTTTTTCTCTCATTACGCATTTTGACACTGTTTTTTTTTGTTCATTTATTTATTTATTTATTTTTATCGCAAGTACCAACTAACGTGACGGCGTTAATAAATCAAACGAACCTCGCTAATCATTCTTATATATCTTATTCAAATGAAAAATTACTTTTCAAACACAATATATTATTAATGCCACAAGAATATATATATTATTATAATAATCGGTCCTTTAAATATGGTGTTTAGGACAGTATAAAAAATAAAATTTCACGAGGCACATTTATTTGCGTGAATACATATATATTATGTATATAAAATTAATAATTTTCTTTTTTGTCTTTGTTTTTTTTCTTTGTTCTCTTTTTTTTCTCTTTTGGTGAATTTGAAAATTAATGCTGATAAAAGAAAATTATAGATATATATATATAGTTTATTAGGTTTTTGCTTTTAAAGGAAAAGTTTTTACTTTCGGTGCAAATTTTCAGTATGTTTTTTTTTTCTTTCGTTTTTGTGGTAATTCTTTAGAAAATAGGTATAAATAAACGCAGGCTCTTAATAAAAAAGACGCGACGAGAGGTTCATTAGATTACACACTTTTTCGGTATAAGGATAAATCGTTCTCGTTGTTGACGTTTTTTTTTTTTTTTTTGTTTTATTTTTATATCATTATCGTAACATTTAGTTAGAGATGTAAAATTTAATTGTTTCATTGTTAAAAGTCCTGCGCGTGTTGTTATTGCATTTTTTTCTAATAAATAATAATCTCACAACACTACATAATAGGTAAAATTATTTCCTAATTTACTCAAAAATTTTAACTTCAACTAATTTTGCTCTTAACGTTCCCAATTTTTCAATATTGTAAATTAGTACTTTAATTAATTTAAATTAAAAATTACATTATCTTCAAGAAATGAATTTAAACAATAAGTAATAATAATTAATTATAATTCTTTATAAAATTTGATTAATTTTACACAGGTATTATAATAGCACCAAATTATATTATAAATAATTTGTTACCCATATAAAATTAATTGATTCTGTAAAAGTTAACGATATTAATTTTAATAAATAATGACAATAGTAAATAATATAGAAACAATAAATATAGTAATAGTGGTAATAATAATTAAATAATTAATAATAATTAAATAATTAATAATAATAAAATAATTAATAATAATTATTTGAATTATTAGAATTTTCGTTTTTAATAAATTATAAATTAAAAAGAAATTTTATTTTAATAAAATAGTGAGAATAAAATTAGTCACAAAAGGTACGAATAATAAAATTTTAAATAACAAGCAGAGTAAATGGAGAAAAATAATTAAACATTTAAGTAGAATCGAAGGGAAGAGTAAAATAGTTTTTTCGAGTGTCGAAAGAATAAGCGTTAAGTATATAGAAGAAGAGAATGATGAAGGAGACAAGAGAAGATCATTATTCAAAAAGCATATATTTATTTTAAAATATTCTCGTCAGATATATATGCACAGGAGAATGAAGAAAAAAAATTGAATATCTAATGAGAGGAATAATATTTATTTAATAAAATGAAAAATTTAAAATAATGAAGGAAGAAATTTTCACTTTGAACTAATGACAGTAGAAGAGAATATGAGAAAGAACATATATATATAAATATAAAATTCAAGAAAAAAAATATATACATTTTTTTCTTATATTTTATATAGCTATATATATTAGAAAGGCATTATGACAAATAGAGAAAAACTGAATAAAAAGAGCTCTACAGATCATACAGACTTTATTTGTATTTTTTTTTTAAGTCGTTAAGACAAAAGTGTGCTTTTTTCTGTTGAGAATTAGGTTTAAATTATACTTAGGCCCTATAAGTAGTATGCGACGTTATCTTAATATTTTCGATAGAATCGAGTTTCTTTTCTTTTTTATTTTGGGATGGAACTGAGCCACATTCACTTCTCATTATTTAGCAATTATCGTTTTACGAATTAAGCGACGTGTTTTTTTTGTTAAATTCTCAAATATACATTTTACGCTAGAAGCTAGAGAAAGAGCGGGTACAGTGATTTAGTTTCATATAATCTACGACGATTAATTGTCCAGTTTGATCCTCGAGCTTTTTTCACCTTTTTTTATACTTTTTTAATAATTTTTAATACTTTTTAATACTTTTTATTACTTTTCTCATAAGATTTCTGTTTTACTATTGTAAACTATTTGAGTAAATTTACTTTTTTGGAGAAATTTGAAATTTTTTAGTTTCTTGGTTTGAGGAAAATTTTTTGTTTATTTTGTACAATATATAGAATTGGGGAAAGAAAAAAATTGAAGGACAAAAGAAAATGAAAAGTATTGTTTCTTTTTCAGATTCTTTTTGGAAAAACATTGAGCTCGAGGATTATTTGAAGCTGAACCTATTAAGTCTAAATCCACTACCATAGACAGAGCGTTTATTAGATCTGGAACGAACATTACGATAGGTGAGTTAGATTTTCAAAAGCATATTATTTTGTTCTTTTTATTCTTTGTTGTTGTTTTTCTGTGCGGACGAAAATCCTACTGTTTCTTAAAAAATTGTCCATGAATTTAATACAATTTTTGTTTTGAACTTTTAAAAATTTTGAACTAGGTAAAAAATTGATTAATTTTTTAAATTCACTATTTTCTTTTTACTAAAATTTAAAAAAGGAAACGGAGATAAGTAAATTCTTTTTGCACTGTTCTTCAAAAAATTTTCAATAAGTTTTTAACTATAGTTAATTTTAAATAATGTTTTAGTTAAACTACATTTTTAATAATCTTTTAGTTAAAATTCATTTTTAATAATTTTTAATAATTTTTAATAATCTTTAATAATTTTTAATAATTTTTAATAATTTTTAATAATTTTTTGTTTAATCTTTAATTGTTAACTCATTTCTATATTTTCTTTTGTGCCTGCGAAAATAATTATATGTGTGACTTCATTTCTTTACTGGAAAATTGCTATATAGAATTTTCTAATCTCTGCATCGTGCAGTAGAAGAATTTTACGGTCAGCAAAGTGTTTTTTAAATCTGGGTATTAGTAGTAATAGACAGTCTCAGTCAGACAAAGGGATTTCAAAATGTCTGGGAAATTTTATCACGTCTGAAGTAAAAGACAATCTTTCGTGTGAAAAAACAATTTTTCAAATCTTATAATTTTTCTTGCTAGTAGTGAAAGAATAGAATTTTAAGTGGTAATGTCATTTTTTGGTCAGACATAAAGACTCATTATGAAAAATTTTTCTTTAATTAAAATAAAAGTCAGTTTTAGTCCTCTAAATTAGAAATTTATTTGTCAGTCTCTTCATTGGCAGTAGAAAAGTCGGATTTCAGTCAGACGAACTAATAAAATCTCTAATATTCATGAATTTAAGTAGTGAAAGTCAATTTAGAGTCTGACATTTAATTTAATTCAATTTCAAGACTATAAGTAGTATAAGTCAGTTTTAGTCAGACATTAAAATTTGTAATTACTCGTTTTTTTGTTATTAGTAGTGAAAAACATATCGAAATTTTGCAATTCTGATGAATCTAAATAGTAAAATTGAGTCTTAGGCAAACTGATTTCGTGAGTGTATTTCGTTTTCTGTCTGTCAAATTTTCAAATTTCAAATTTTTATTTTTACATTTTTTGAAGTAGTGGCGAAAATGCTTTATAAGATTTGCAAGTAATACATGTCAATCATAGTTAGACAAAATTTAAAATACTCCAAGTAGTACATGTCAGTTATACCCAGATGTAATTTAAAATACTCCAAGTAGTTCATGTCAGTTATAATCAGACAAATATTTAAAAAAAACCAAGTAGTACAAGTCAGTTATAGTCAGACAAAATTTATAATTTTTTGTTTTTTCCGTTATCAGTCGAGTAAGACGTTGGTTCGTCAGACTAATTAAGTGAATCAATATTGTTTCTGTGTCTAAGTAGTCGAAGTCTGTTTTTAGTCAGACATTTCGAAATCGTGAAAATTTGCTGAGTCTAAGTGTCAGAATTGAATTTTAGGCGAACTAAATTTGTGCAAATAAGTTTCGTTTTCATTTTTAATAATTTTTTTTTGTATTAATAGTGAAGATGATTAAAAAAAACTTACAAGTAGTGCAAGTCAGTTTTAGTCAGACAAAAATTAAATTCTCTATAATTTTTTATTCTCAGTAGAAAGGGACAGTTTTCAGCGATAAAAACTAGGCAAATTTCCAATATTTATAAATTTTTAGTAGTAGAAGTCAGTTTTAAGTCAGGCATTTTCGAATTCTGATTTTAAGTAGTAGAAGTCAATTTTTAGCTCGAGAATTCAAATTCCTCAAAGTTCGTCA